TAATAATCTTCTTGTTTAAATTTACTCACGATTCACAAAAACCTCAGCCTGTTTAGTTGAAGACAACGCTGATCTACTGGCAGGAATTGAAGAAAGACGATCACAGAGATCTTCTTCAACGGCTCTCTCTCAGATTCTCTTTTTTTATTTTTGTTTTCATGACCATTTACTGCCACCTGGTGTTAATAATTGTTCCGTATGTAACACATTGACAAACAAAGAAAAATGATTTGCCATGAACTTTCACGACACATTACTGGGCCACGGTACAGGGGTTGGGAATCACTGCACCAGGTCAGATTCATCAAAATATTCATTGAACTATTTAAAAAAAACTGGAGTTGAATAAATGGTCTTTCATTTCTGTCCATCTCTATTTCTGACAGAACAGAACGGCAGACAAAGATTTCCGTCTTTATCGCAGGAGGAAGTCAAACCTCTAATCACACAAACACCAGGCTGTGGTTTGAGTGGGTTGGATCCACGTCCTGTGGACGTGTGAAGAGGAAGTCAGACGTGCGTTCAGCAGCGTATGGTTTAAACACAGCTCTGGCAGCGCGGTGTCTGCGTCTTGTTCAACGTCACATTTGTCTCATGGTAGATGTAAAACAATCGACCTCTGTCTTTTTTTTTTTTTGTTTCGTCTCTCACCATCTCACCACTTGCCTAAATTTTCCACTGACACCTTTTTGTGACGCGGTGTCTTTCGACACACCTGCGCTGTTTCAACCAGGTTTTTACCAGTGTTGCGCTAAACCGTTGCCAAAGGACAAGGCAGTTTTATCACAGTGGACAAAAAAAATCACACGATTGCAAGAGACTGAAACGAAGATGGAAGACGAGACCAGACCAGACCAGTCCAGACCAGACCAGAGCCGACTAGACAAGACTAGACCAGACCAGACCAAACCAGCCCAGACCAGACCAGACCAGCCCAGCCCAGACCAGAGCAGACGTTCCTCTGATGATCATCATTACGGTCCTACGACAATAACTACCTGTTCCTGCATCGGACCAAATGTAACGGTGACATAAATCAAACTAGAAAACCTTTGTACACACGTGTGTCTGTGCCTTTGAGTCAAAGATTCTGGAAAAGAATCTGTTTTAAAAATAATCCACAGATGACGTTTTCATTTTCATTACAAACATTTTCACCTTGAACTGTGCATTTCTGAAAAAAAAACAACAACAAAAAACACTTCTTGTACAAATTCCCCACAAGGACAGGGGGCGCTGTTGCGTCCTATTATTATATTATATTTCAAGCTGAGTTCCAACAGATTACGTAATCCCACAGTTCTCACAGTTCTCACACCTGGAGACCACAGTGTAACGATGCAACACTGGGTCTCACTGACATTAGTCTGGACTGAGGCGGGACAGATGTTCGTCTTTGGACAAGACTCACAAAAGTCAATTAGCATATCACGCTAACCAGAGCTGGATGACCGACTGAAGACCGAAAAATCAAACCAACCCGATGGAGACACCAGAGGAGGAGCAGCTGCAGCGACCGAAAAATCAAACCAACCCGAAGGAGACACCAGAGGAGGAGCAGCTGCAGCAACTCTGACCAACCACTGTGACGGACACCTACTGACCGAGCTGCAGTACTGCATCGTGTGATCCAGAAAAAAAAACAAAAAACATTTGACTTTTGTCTAATTAGCGAAGCCAGACAAACCTCTGGTTCATAAATGTGCTCAAATGTTAAGAATCGCGACACCCTGTGTGTCAGAATGTCACAAATGTTTCTGTAGCGGTCGTCGTACTGACGGATAAATTCATTTTTACAGGTTTTAAATCAGGGTTTGAATGAAAAACTTCAACATCTTCATTGATGGTGAAGTAAAACAAACATCCGTGTGGGTTTGTTTTCCACATCAATGCTGATGTGCACCTTAACTGAATTACTCCACGACAGATTCTCCATAGTTATAATAATCCAATCAATCTGATTCGTTGTGGATCAGACGGAGGCGGGTGTCCTCGTCAGGACCCGGGGGCAGGAAGGTATTTCTGTCCTTCTCAGAAACCACTGTTCCAGGACCAAGACGACACATGGACTCCTGGTATTTCAGGTGAAAGACTAAAGTAGTAACTTTGTGGACAGAACACTGTGTCCTCAACCTCAACTCCATCAGCTCTGATGACATCCACCCAGAGGGCGAGGGCGACGACCCGCTGCAGCGAGGGCGGGAAGCCGAGCTGCTCCGCTCATTTACAGACTTTTTCAGACTCAAAGACAACACGGCAGAAGAGATCTGGGTTCTAGAAGAACCTCCAGTCTCCTGACACTGCTGCAGCCACAAATCACCACCGTGTGGCGCTAAACCCGTTGAATCATAACCAGCATTTTATAGTTACTGAAACGGTGCGACTGTTCGAGCGGCTTTTACAGCTCAGGGTTTTTCAGATCTCCAACTGTGTGTGTGTGTGTGTGTGTGTGTGTGCTGTACGCTGACCTTGCGTTCTTTGTCCCCGTACTCCAGGCCCAGTGTGTCCATGGCACGGACAATGGCAGCCAGTGATTGGATGGTGTTGCTGTACACAACGGGCTTGTACTGCTTTACGTCATCGCCAGAGAATCCGTCCTCGTGGATGATTCTGGAAAAACACAAAAAAAAAAAAAAAAAACACAAAAAAAGTCAGTCACAGATTTAGAGGATTTAGATTTATGTAGAACAGGTGGTTTCTGTGAGATCCAGGCTGGTAACCATGGTAACGCTAAAGCCAAACCAGACTCACTATTTCAGTTAGGTTGTTGCTAGCGAGAAAGCAAGTAAGCTAGCTAAACTGCTAACAGTTCTTGGTCAGAAATACTTCTGATACTACTTATATATATATATATATTTAAATTTCTGTAAAAGTGACAAGTTCCATTTCAACACAGATGTTGGTTTATGAAAACAGAAACAGAAGACAAAGACGGAGCAGGTGTGCAGGGAGACAGAGTGAGACGAGGGACGAGGGACGTGAACAGTAGGCTCAGCTGACATTTAGACACCGTGCTAACAGCAGCCTCTCCTGCTGTTCTAAATGCCATCATATCTGTTACGGCTCCTCAGGACACGGCGACAGACGGGAGGAGTTCAGCAGCAGCAGAGACACATTCAGACAATAAAAAAAGGAGCAACAGCAACAATTCCCTGACACAGGTCTGGGCAACAATCCTCAAGACAAAACACAAATCATCACCGATCTAACGTTACGAAGGCTCCTCCTCTGACCACCGGAGTCAGAACAGACGACCAGCCAATCGGCAGCCACCACGAATTCTTTATCAAAAATAAAATCATGTTTGTCAGAGAATTCCACCTTTTCTAAAACAAATCTCACCCGTAACTTTTCTGTTTGAACTTCCAGAAAATGAGTCCAACTCCATTAAAGCAAATGAAGTTATAAATTTATGCAGATTTTCTCGACATTTTTATATGAATAACTCCATTAGTAGGATCAAAAACACATTAAGAAAACAAATTTTAAAAATTAAAAAAATTACAAAATTTAAAAAAATAATTAAAAAAATTAAAAATTAAAAAAATTAAAATTAAAAAACAATTAGTAGAATAAAAACACACACATCAAGTGTTGATCCTTCTTGATTAATCATGATTAATCGACAGTTTCCAGTTATATTTATATATTTTTTTTTTTTCCTCTTGTCATTGATGCACAGACATGACCTCAGCAGATGTGCGGTTCATATACAGGAAGTGAGGTTCATATACTTTGGAGCTGAGTGTTTTGCCAAGTGAAGAACAAGGTTATTGTAACTTTAAGTGTGTGTGTGTGTGTGTGTGTGTGTGTGTGTGTGTAGGACAGCACGGTCCTGCACAGTGTAACGTTCCAGATCAATCAGGCACACAGCCAGTCCTGTCTAAATACAGCAGGCGTCTATTTACACTGGTGACTTTAACAGGAGACGAAGGACGATCTGTGGACAGAGACGAGCTTCAACGGCCACGGAATCGAACCCTGAACCTCAGCTAACAAGTCCAACAGCGGCTCGTCCGCAGACCGACGTTACAGCCTCGCTGCAGGACACGGACTTTGGACAAACATTCACAGCGTGGTGTTGTTGTTGTCCACCTGAGACGCAGTGGACGAAGGTTGGACCGGGACGAGGACTCCAGTCAGCAGAACTGGAGTCGCTCATGTGTCTTCTTACGCGGGGGGCGGGGGG